GTTGACATGAGGTGTCATTTATGTTGGCCCTCTGGATTAGCAAGGTAATAGGTCAATGAGGCAGGAATAAAGAGGAATTTGCATTGTGCCTAGAATTGAATTAACTTTCATCTCTCAAACGTTTCTTTAACTATAGATGTTGTGCTGCATTGTGTGTACATATGCATGTCACAGGACAGATTTAACTGGTAGACTCTCTTGTTGCTGTTTGTCATCATGATCTCTAGTCTCCTTTATTATTAAAGTGATAACAGTGTTACTAGATTTTGTCCTGACTACTGAATACTGTTATTATTTTCCTTATTGCTTTGTTTTACTGGTGTTTCCACCCTCCCCCTAAGTAAGGTCCCACTCAAACCAAATCAAATCAAAGTTCCCAGAACTTAGGAAGGTCAGCATGAAAGCTGAAACGGCCCCTGGTCGTTACTGCTTGGGCAGGGCACACGTGCAGGGTCGGGCCTGCGTAGGACTCATTCACACACATGTGCCACAGGGTAATTTCGGTTCCCTTTCAAGAGAGCATAGAAAGTCCTTGCATTTGGTTGTGTTTGGATGTTGCTAGAGTGTCCTTTTTCATGTTGGTCTGAATGTTTTTTCTGAGTTAACTTCCATTGAGAACTTGTGTGAAATCTAAAACACTAGTTCTGCTGCATCAGCGCAGTGCTTGTTACAGTTTTGTCAGGAGTTTTGTTTTATTTTTAAGCCATTTGCGAGATTTCATTTTAACAAGGGAAAATAAGTGGCATGTCTCTCTGTAAAGCTTTTAGAGCTCTCTGGACAAAGGTGCTGTGGAGATGCAAAGTAGTCATGTTACCTATGATTATTTTTTGCAGGATTTCTCCTAAGTCCTCCCTACATGCACTCATGCACCCTGGATAAAATTGTCTAGTCTTCTCATTATTAATGATTCTAATTAACTTCATTGAATTCAAGCTTCAAAGTTCCCCTTCTAGACAGGGCTGTGTGATGGGTAAAAATTAGAGAGACCTTCACGTGGCTTTGTCATCTAGTGGTTGAGAATCGTACTGCTTGAAGGGAAGCTGGAGTACTCTGCACCAGCCTGGGAAATGCCACTCTTCCTTTTACTAGAGAGTTGCATGCCTGTTTCTCTGGCCAGGAAGCATACAGAAAAGGATTTTTTAAAGGTAGTCTGAATCACCTGTGTATGATTTCCACGTAGGTATATGTCAAATTCACAGGTGACTGCACCAGTGTTTTCAGCAAATTCCATTTACCCAGTGTCCATCTCATGCAGGATAGTGGCATATACTGTGCACTGAACAAATGCATGTTTGAATGTGTATTGCCCCCCCTCCCTTTTCATCAAATACATGTTGAAATTCTTTCACTAA